TTTTTTTTTGCTTTGCAGCAGAGATGACCATGCTAACGTGCTAGGTGAAAACTTCAGATCAATGCTTTCCCTCTTCTTATATTGAATACTGAATGAATGGTCCAGAATATGGGGACATAAACTCTAGAATGTAGGAGAGTTGAAATAAGAAGCCACAGTACAGAATATTTTCCAAAGCTTAGGTCTTGGAGGTGTTCTGGAAAATGAAAATAATAATAGGCAGGTTTGAATTCACACAATAAAAGTTCTTGAATGTCCTCAGTAGTCCTAAGAATTACAAGATGATATGATTTCCATAAGTGGAATTTACCCACATTCCCATGTCACCCATAAATGACCTGGAAGTACTCTTAGTTGGTGGGATCAACTGGTCTACCTGGGACCCAGAGGATGCTTTCTAACATAAACCTCTTCCACATTATCCCCCATGAAACACAGCTAAGGAAGACAGTCTGAGTGAAGAGCATAAGAAGAAGTTTGAAGAAGTGACAGTGGCATCCAAGATTCCAAAGGAGAACATAAGAAATGTTATTGAAACTGGTAAAGTCACTTTCCCTGTTCCTGTAGCAATCTGAAATGAACCAGAGGACAGGGAGCTTCATTCATATCTTCCATTTGGAAAGCTCGAATCATTACACATTGAGCAACCCCAGTGATGTAGACTTTCCCTTCCCTTCTCTTTCACAGACGACTGTCCTGCTGCCTAAGGACCTTGCCTGATGATCAGGCACTTGAGGTTTGTACATTCTGACATTTTGTTTGGTTAGGTATTTTTTCCCCTTATGGTACTTGGCATAGGTATGAATGAATGAAATGGTCTCTCCTTAAGTGTGTTGAATGACTACATTCATTTTAAACATGGATCAAACAACACCTCTTTAGTTTTCAGAGTGTGATCTTTTATTGGGAGACAGTGGGACAGCATTTTGAGAAGCCATGCACAATGGCATAGTATTAACATTGGGGAATACATTACTTTGCAATGTTCAAATCTTCAATATCCCTAAAGGAGATTTCTCAAAGACTTTCAGATATTGAAGGGAAAAGTACCAGAGATTTAATCCAGGAAGAATCTACCCCTGAGTCACATCTCTACCACATCTTATTCTTTATTTTGATATGGCCTCTAAGACGCAGAAGGTGGACTTGAACTTGAGATCCTCCTGCACTTGATATAGTCTCTGAGTCCTCAGATTAGAGGCATGCACCATTGCTCCTGGCACAAAAAAATGTTAAATTGTTGAACACATGCACATGCACCTTAGGATCCCTCAAATCAAGAGGTGACCTTGCAAGCATATGTTTCTTATGAAAGTGAGCCCTGTAGAACCCATACATGAACACATAAGTTTGGAGAAAAGAGTTGCGTGTGACCGTTTCTGCACTCCACTACCCAGGATTGGACTTTTCCTTTGCATTCTAACACTCCCCAATATGATATCATTAAGAT